TTTTATCATTTGCCCAGATATACGAAAATACATAGTTATCATACTTAGAATAGTTACAAAAAAAAAAAAAGAAGTTAGTAAGCAGTTGAATTTATAGAAATTCAGAAAGTATCAAGAAGAAGGTTGAATTTACCCGACACCATCGTTTCGAAGGTTTAGATGTTGAAGGATGAGAATCCCTGAATCTTATTAGACTGCGTCGATTGAATGTGGTAATGTTTGGCTTCGGATGCAGCTTATGCTCACACTTCGGTTCCAGTATCTGTGCCAAATATATGTCTTTTGTCCACTGCAATAAATTAAGATCATTAGTTGGACTTGATTAAAATCAAGTTTATAGTGTGCTTTATTATTGCAAACAAAAAAATTGTTTTGCAGTAAATACTATATTAGATTATTAAACATTAATTGTTAAATGAAAAAAAAAATTTAAATATAAGAATAGGACTCTATTTTACTAGTTAAAATTTTACAATCTAAATTGTAAAATTGTACACCGGCAATATATACTTACCGCTTGGAAAACCATTGCATCATGAACACATTTCGGATTGCTGGGATCTGGATTATACACATATTGGCCCTTGCAATTTCTTTTAATTGACTTGCAAAAAAATAATAATAAAAACGAAAATAAAACCAATCAACATGAGACTGAAGAATGAATCAATCAAAAGATTATAAGTAATCATATTTAACAGAGACACAAATGAATTTCAAAATGGTAAGGTTGTAATTGGCATCATGTTTTCTTGCACAATAATTTATACAATATTATATATATATTTATACAATATTATATTACATCAAACAATTGAATTCATATCAAATTATAAATGATTTTAAACAAAAAAAAGATAATCATAAAATTATACTTATGTTACATAAATCATAAACATTGTACCTCAATTATTTTCCAACTAAAAAATATAGGAATGTTAAATTACCTCATAAAATGGACGGGGTAATAAAGCTTTTCGGTAAGCAAATGGGACCTTTGAATTGGAATCATTGACTAGATATGTATATGGGTTGCCTAGTGTGTATCCCTGAGTTCATTTATTTTAACCCCGAAAAATGAAAATATAAACTTATAAAATGAAAATGAAAAAAAAAAAATAGTATTAAAAATTCTATAAAAAAAAATCGTGTGTTCTCAATGTACCTGTAGGTTCAAAGGAGGATAATGCCCAACTTCATTGCCTGGAATAAAAAGAGCTGATTTTAGGGAAAAAAGAGATAATAATTCACAAATTAGCCAAAAAAAATTATTAATTTGAATTAGGTAAGAGATTAAGGTTTTTAATTTTTAGGGTGTGTTTGGTTAAAGGCCAACCTTCTCATGAAAATTTTTTTAGGAAAGTGATTGGTTAAAATACTATAAGGAAGGTTATTAAGTTTTGTTAAAATTTGGTTAAATTCTTATTTTGGTCCCTGAACTATTGTACGGCCCCACGATTTGGTCCTTAAACTAAAGAAATCCCTGATTTGGTCCCTAAACTATTGTACGGACCCGATTTGGTCCCCACTGTTTATAATTTGGCCTAAGTTAGTCCTTGAACTATTGTACGGACCCCCAATTTGGTCCTTACTGTTTACAATTTCTCCCCAATTTGGTCCTTACTGTTTACAATTTCGCTCCAATTTAGTCCTTGAGCTATTATTTAATAGAAGGACCAAATTGGGGCTAAATTGGTAAACAGTAGGGATCAAATTGGGGATCGGTATAATAGTTTAGGGACTAACTCGGGGTCCGTACAATAGTTTAGGGATCAACTCAGGGGTCCGTACAATAGTTCAAGGACCAAATTAGGGATTTTTTTAGTTCAGGGACCAAATCGGGGGTCCGTACAATAGTTCAGGGACCAAAATAGGGGTTTAATCTTAAAATTTTGTTGAGTTGTTGATTTTGTTGTGTTTGGTAAAAAATTGACATAGGGAGAGTATAAGGAAAGCTAATAAGAAAAATTGTTAAATGTATCTTTTATAGAAAAAGTTGTGGGAAAGTTTTTCCTTTAAAAAAATATAAGAAGAAAAGTTTATTTGTTTA